CGGAGCACAGCAGGTTGAGACCTCCGACCCCGCCGCCTGGAATACGATCCCTGTGCCTCCCCACCCCCACCCCAGGAAAGGTGGGTGAAGGCGGCTGCTTCACCGGCTGGGGAGGGTGTCAGGGTGAGGCCGGGACCAGCGCCCTGGGCCCCGAGGGTGTCCCGGGAAATTGGGCATCACCACGGGGCAGGTCAGCCCGTGAAGCCTGAGATTTTCTGGGCACAGGGGCTCCTCCATTCCTGCGCCTAGAACGCGGAGGAGGACGAGGAACCGCCCTGGGTTGGGGGGCGGGAGGGGGGGCAGAGGGGCCGGTGAGAGGAAGGCGGATGTGGGACCCGGAATGGCAGGCACCACGCCTCTCACCAGGACTCCATTGGGTCCTCTCTTTCCAGGACAGCAGCTTCCTCCCGGATGTAGCCTTTGTCTGGGGAACCAGCAGGTCTCTCGCTGTTGGAGGCACCCCGCCCTGAGCCAGGTGTGCGCTGCAGTCCTGGGGCCTGGCGGCTCCCCCAGCGCCCAAGCCTCCATCTACTTTCCTGCGAAACCGAGTGCCTTCCCTCGGCCAGAAGACGACCTGGGGTGGGGGGTTGGGGGAGAGGACTCCCTGGCGCCTGGTCCTCCCAGGCCTCAGGTTAAGGCTGGGGACTCAGGAGCACCTCGGGCTGGGCTGGGGGGACATGTGCAGGCTCAGCTGAGCACAGGAGGAAGCAGGTGAGCCCTCAGCATCTGGACCCCTTTTCTCTCTAGGTCGCTGAGTTGCACCTCCGTCTTCCCAGGATGCAACGGGCCTGCCAAGTCTCTGCTTCCACCTGCAGCCTAGGGAGGGCCAGGAGGCGCCCACAGCGGAAGGGGCCTCAGAGCCCTGAGGGAGGCAAAGGCAAAAGCACCTCCTGCTCAGAAGCGAAGCCTGGATGGGGCTGGGGGACTGGAGACCTTCTCCGCCTGGGACCACAGCAGAGATGGGCTCCGACCCCTGGGCCTCTGCCTGGAGGTCACCGTCCCTCTCCACTCCCAGCTTCCCTGAGCTTAGATTACCCTAGAGTAGCCTAGTTTAGTAAGGGACAGAGAGGATCCAGGACCTAACTTAGCTTAGCTTCCCTCAGAGTAGCCTAGGTTAGGGAGGCAGACGAGACCACTGCGGACTTAGCTTACCCAAGCCTAGAGTAACTGAGGGACCCAAGAGGACATAGCTTAGCTTAGCTTAGGCTAGAGTAGCTGAGGGACCCAAGAGGACCTACATTAGCTTAGCTTAGCATGGCATAGGCTACAGTAGCTGAGGGACCCAAGAACCTAGCTTACCTTAGCTTAGTTTAGCTTAGCTTAGGCTAGAGTAGTTGAGAGACCCAAGAGGACCTAGCTTAGCTTAGCTTAGTTGAGCTTAGCATAGGCTAGAGTAGCTGAAGGACCCAAGAACCTAGCTTACCTTAGCTTAGTTTAGCTTAGCTTAGGTTAGAGTAGTTGAGAGACCCAAGAGGACCTAGCTTAGCTTAGCTTAGTTGAGCTTAGCATAGGCTAGAGTAGCTGAAGGACCCAAGAAGACCTAGCTTAGCTTAGCTTAGTTTAGGCTAGAGTAGCTGAGTGACCCAAGGGAACCGAGCTTAGCTTATGCTAGCTTAGGCTAGAGTAGCTGAGGGACCCAAGAGGACCTA